ATGATAGATACAAATTGGCCACAGCTGTCAACAGGGATCACTCTGTAGTGAAGCCAGTTTCAGACTGTTCTCTTTACTGATCACCCCCATGTTATTGGGCCATTTGTTTCATTACTTGTCTTTACAAAGCTCATCAGGATGATTTTTAAAAAAAGGGGGGGTGCTCACATCTGTTCTATCTACCTATCTAATCTACTTAATAGCATCTACCTCTCCAGCCAAATCTTTACAAAGCTCATCAGGATGATTTTTAAAAAAGGGGGGTGCTCACATCCGTTCTATCTACCTATCTAATCTACTTAATAGCATCTACCTCTCCAGCCAATAAACTAATTCCTATGTTTAGTCATCTATATTCCAATAATTCATGTCCTTGCTATATGTTCTCCCTTCCCAGTGGTCAAGGCATTTATTTCTGATAGTGGAGACACAACTGGGCAGGGTTAAAGTTGCTCTGGTAACTAGCCATGTGAGATAAACTGCTCAGTAACCTCCTAGCACTGTCATGCATATGTTCTGAGTGTTTAGGGAACTGTAATGGGGGAGAATTTCCCACCTTTCATGAATAACCATGAATCAAGCCCTTTTACATTTGGCTCTCCAAATCTGTTTCAGATCATTCCGAGCTCTTCCAGGACTGCATTAAAGCTCCAATCCAGATAGTATTAGGGGGATAAATGAGCCACGGGGAAGAGATGTCATATTTTTCTTAAAGCAATTTGTTCTTTTTTTTTCACAAAGTTAGAAGCTAAGCAATTTATGATTAAGATTTTTGGAGGACATCCTCCGTCATGTTAAGCCTTTCTTGTCTGTGGTTTTAAAAATGCAGTCTTTGCTATGGCTTCCTGGTATGCATTAATGGGTTTCTCTCTACAGGTAGATTACAGGTTTATTTCTAGCGGCAAATGTAAAGTAGTTTAAATTCATTATGATCCACTGTAGAGTCTTTTGAAGAAAAGTGAGGAATAGTTAAAACCTGAGGTCAGTTAGGAGTAAGGAAGTGCCTGACTATGCATTTGTATTTGTGATATTTGGGAATAGCAGAGAAAGTTATCAATAATTTTAGTTTAATATATTTTCTACAGAAAGCAACCTGCTTTTCAGGAAAAGGGCATTATTACTGTATGAGTTCTAATTTAATATTTTCTCTGTGTCTGCTTTAATTTATTCAATGAGTCATAAAGGTGTCTCAACTCTCATCATATGCAATTCATGACTTATTTTCTCAGGTTGTTTCCAAAGAAAGTATTTCATAAAAAGACTCACAACTACAATGTTAAGTTTACAAAAAGTCCCATCAAACGATACAAGAGTCCCTGAAGAATGCATACAAAGATAGCATATGACATATCAGATGACATAGTTCAAAACAGGAATGTTTTCAAGTTGACCTTGAATATGTTAAGGAACTCACAGAACAAAAAGATTATTCACTACCTCTGGCATTTGTAATAGACATAAAATAGGTGACAAGCTGATTATTTGACCCTGAATAAAATGCTCATATAAGAATAAAAGAAGATTCAGGTATGTGTCTTTCATCAAGGTTAGTAAAACACTCATAGATAGATGATCACATTAAGTACACTGAATCACTGCCTTTGAAGATGGTTTATTTCATAGTTGTAGACTGCAGTACCATCCATGTGTAGGGGATTGACAGCTGGTCCACCCATTAGTATTAATGAATTACCAACGTGCATCCCACACACATCCACCAAGGAGCCGAAGACATCCCGCCTACACACTGCTTTGTTTTGAATCCTCCAAATGTTGTAGGGTGGCTATTTCCTTAATAAATGGAAATCATTGAACATAGCATGCATTATCTCCCAGAACTAAGATGAATGTCTTACAGGATTAGAAAGGAACTCTAACTTTGTTCATCTGTTAAGATAGGTCAGAGTACATCTCACGTCTCTGCCTTAAGGAACATGTGGGACCTTATACAAATTTAACTGCACTGCTAGGGTATTTCATTAGGAAAAATTTTGTGGAAAAAAATTAAAACACAGTTGACAGTGACCACTGGCAATCTGCTTAGTGAAATCTGCTAGGGTGCTATCCTCGAGGTGAAGTAAGAAAAAAAAATAAACAGTACAGTTCTTTCTTAATAAAAAAAAAATACCCAGAGTTTATTTAGCCTAACAGCTTCTCTGGTTGAAAGAAAACCTAGGAGATAGGCACATGTAACCTCTGCCCCCTGCAAAGAAAACCTAAGAGAAAAACAGATAACAGATAACCTAAGAGAAAAAAAAAAAGTTCTCACAAAGAAAAAAATATCTTCACTCTGGAAAATGTTTCCATGCCCCTGTTCACATCCTATTCATTAGCTAGCTTCTGAGCCTTGCTAATGTTCTTTAATATGGGTGCATTTTTCAGCATATCAGTCAAAATCAGAAGTTGGATCTTGCTACCATGTATGTACAACTGCTCCATTTGTGCTACTCGGTCATCTCTGTTCATAAGTGATGTTGAACATCTGGCAATTCATGTTATCCTGTGCTTCCCTCAATATATCTTACCAGCCTTGGTCTCCCAAGTTACTCTGTAGCCCTCAACCTTGAGCAAGGGTTTAGTCAGTACATCAATTGACATCTTGGCAGGAAGAGAGTTCAGCTGAAGACTCCTTTTTGTTTCTGGAACATTAGAAGGCCAAGGACTGGTGGGCTGACAATATGCTTCTTGATGTGATCTCTACATGTGCTTGTCATCACTGAGTTCCAGAATAATCACAACTTAAACCTTTTATCCTCACATAATTTTAATTTACTATTTACCCTAAAGATGTTCTAGTTTGTATGGGAAATTATAAGTTTGCCCTCTGTAGGATGTTTCTTATAAAGCTACAGTCCTTCCAATCATCAAGATGGCTTGTTTCCATTCATGCATTTCTTGTAGCCCACTTAGTTCTAAAGTGGAAAAACTTTAAAATGTAGTTGTCAGTACATCTTCATAAACTGTCTAATCCATTGGACTTACTTCTATTCTTTCTGTTTTGTGACATTGCATCTCCCCAGCCCTACCCACCACACACACTGTCTATACACATCTCTAACACACACTCACTACACAAAATGCCACAGAAAGGTCAGAGAATTTCACTGAAGGATTACCTTTGTATAGAAATAGCATAACGTCTTTTTAGTAACTGCATGTGAAGATTAAATGTGATGTATTTTACTATCTGTGACATAATTTTAGTTCATAGTAGTCATTGGCATGGGACTATCAGATGGAGAGAAAGATACTTTAATTAACAATCATTTATTAAATACCTGCTATGCATCCAACATCAGATTACATAAAAAAATGACTGAGACCTTGTAGCCAACCTCCAAGAACCCATGGCCTAGTCATGCAGATGACCACGTTGAATAAGAATGGTCTTTTCTGCTAAGTTTGGGCTACTACTTTGTGTGCTGAAAGAAGATGTGAAAGGGCCATGGGTGAGCTAGTTGGGGATCTAATGTGGATACACAGCTTGAGGAATTCTTTATATAAGAGATGAGAGCATGGGTCATATGAGGAGCAGACTGTGAGGATGAGGAGGCCCTATTTCAGTTCTGTGCTAAGGAAGTGGATGGCATGATATTGGCCATCATTTACTCTTACACAATCATCATTGTTTCTCCTTTGTTCCGAATTCTGTAGATTGAGACCTTTTGTGTTAATCTAGTAAAGAATGGGAGTTGACTACTATGGCTTAGAAAAAAAATCATTGTAAAGCTCTGTCATTTCCCCTGCAATATATATTTCTTTTAGTGTAATTTCAAACATATTATTTTTATTTCTCTAAGAAATGTTAGCCTCTTTGTTTTTTCTTCTGATTTCTTTAAGTCTATGGTTGCCATCAGCATTGTGGTATATTTATATATAAAGGTCTAGGTAACAAATGACATTCTTATTATTTGTTCTTTCATGTCAGGCTTCCATGAAAGTACCATTAAATACTCCGTAAATACAGATAAATGAAGAAGTACTTCATTCCAGTCTTAATTACTGTGCTGCCATCCCTCCCTAGTTTCTGAATCATCCTTTCTGGAGACTTCTTCCTGCTTGTTGGTGGCACTAGTGCCTCTTTCTGTTTTCTCCCATCACAGTTTTGTTCCTTTTTACCTAGGTCTTCCTCTGTATGACTCATGATATCTATTTGAATAGGTTAACTGATTAGTCCCTGCAGTAATAATTGACCTATCTCCTAGTCTTTATCTCTCCTAGTATCTCTTCTCAAATCTAGTTCACAGGTAAGTTCCAAGGGTGGCAGAGTCTTTAATGCCCATGGTTCCCCCTCCTGTTTCTCGTCTCATACCATGGTACCAATTTCCTAATGTCAGTCTTATCTCCAAATTCATGAGCAATTTTTCATGTTGATGGAGTTTACCTTTGGCATAACAACACCATGAGTGATAAAATTTAGATGTCATAGAGGGGCTCTAGCTGCCTTTCTGTTCTGTTTTTCAACATCCTCTTTGGTGTGCATAGAGAGGTTTTGTAGAGCTGTAGTTAGAACACCTGAGTTTGAATTCTGGATCTGTTATCTGTTAGCAATATGATCATAGGAAAATCCTCTACTTTCTCCATGCCTCACTTCTCTCTTCTACAAAACCAAGGGCAGTAATTGACTCTATGATAAACAATTATTGCAAGAATTAATGAAAACTCAGAACACAATGTAAAATACATTAATAACTCTATAAGTATGAAACCTTTTGAGGCTTTATCTCCACATAGGATTGAGAGATATAAAGGTCTCAAAGTCAAATAGTATGTTGACCGGTGAATGGATTATTTTATAACATAACCTGAAACCACATGGAAAGTTCAACAGTGAAGAAAATTGTCTCTGCTTTTGCTTCCTCTTCTGGGCCCATAAGTTAATGTTGAGGACTAAATGCAATATGTAAATGACCTGAAGGATCCCAAGTTGAATAACACTGTATAAATGACAGCATGGCATTATCATTTTGTTCTCAATGGTATTTCTTTTTCTAATTTAGGGACGAAATTTAGCTTCAGGAGAGGTTGGATTTTTCCCAAGTGATGCTGTAAAACCATCTCCATGTGTAAGTCTTTATATTTAACTTCTCATTTTATTTTGCTTTTGATGCTATGACTGACTTGCAAGAAGGTACAAAGGATAGTGACTACCTAGATTCTCATCAGTTTTAATAGGAGGGCAGGTCTTACATGAGTATAATCCCACATATTATACTTTAATCTGTGCCAAAAAACCAGTTCAACTGTTAAGAAAAGATATGCAGGATGAAAATATAACTTAGAATTTACAAAAATGTTTAAAGGTCCCTAGGAGAAGTAACCCAAAGCCATAGGATGGATATACTGGGTAAAGTTTCCTTTTTTCTTTGTGTAAATGGTATGGACTTATTCCTGTTTACTCCAGTTACACTTCAGCTAATGTCTTTGAAATCATGGCAAAAAGTAAAAAGTTTTCAAATTCTTCAATTTGAAACCAGGGCTCTGAACACATTTTTTGATGCTTTATAATGTTCTTTCCTGTTTATTTAATGTCATAATGAAATTTTCTGAGAACAGGTAAAGGGGGAATGAGTGACTTTTATTCAAATAATATAGGTGAATATTATGTAAATGTACTTCTCATGTTTTGTGGTGTTAATTCTCATTTCTATATGGGGTAACATTATTTTAACATCATAATTTTCCCAACAATTTTCAAGTTAGTGAATCCAGAGTAATGAAATTTCATTGCTAATATAATGCATATGATTACCTGAGGGAACATGCCCTCAAAATTCTCAAATAATCTTTCTTTTTATATTCCCATGGCATCTGTATTTCTCAATTACACATTTTTTATATTACAAGTGTAATATCTGTCACCTTTAATTTGAGAATGTAATCTTACACCATTTACACAAGCTTAATTATTTTTGAAAAGTAAAGAATTAAAAATATGATTTGTTCCTCTACTTGTTATGATAGATAGGTTGAATCCCACAGGTACAAACATAAGCAATAATGTTTATATAACAGTAAATGGCAAGATATTTTAACATTCAGACATTTGGGAACCTGAAGAAGCATTTATTATACAAAGCACTATTTTCTGTTTACATCTTACATGAGTTTTAGAAATTTTGTTTTAAAGATAGTCTGGCATAAAAGCACATTTAAATTTGTTGAATAGATGTACAAAGGATGAGAAAGCAAATGTTCCTCCCTCAATGCACATAGGTAATTAGTGAATAAAATCAGCTTATAGAATCTTACTGTAACTGCCTAGAAGGAAAACTACACTTGGATATTTTTAAGATACTAGAATTATACAGTAATGCATACCCAGGAGTAAAACAACCAGATAAATATGAATGTTTGTATAGCTTAAAGTTAATAGATATGTAGTAAAGGGAACTACATGTGTAATGAAAGTATATATTTATTTTTAGCTATAGGACAAACTTTCGGGACGTAGACCGATTAAAGAGGACAAAGCACGGCATGAGCTTGAAAACTGCATCCCTTTGTACATACTGTTTTACAGGGGTCCCGGAGTAATGCCGTGAATTCTATTCTGAAAATTAAGTTTTCTAAGTGTATGATTCCTGAATCTTCAAAAGAAACATTTTAGTGAGTCCCTCCAGGGTTGAGGACAAAAGTCTATACATAGATGCAGTGGTAAATTTATGACAGCACAGTAATCGGGGTACAACACAGTGCAAAGTTGGAGAAATGTGAATCTGACAGCTGTCAGGGCATGTTCCAGTGAAACTCCACCCAGCAAAGAGATACTTCTGTTGGTCTTGGCTCTGAGACAGATAAAGGAAAAGAGAGGCAGGGTCTGGGATAGCAAGCATGAGAAAGTGCTCCCTTAACGACTTCTAAACTTAAATGTAAAAGTCATCCATATGTAAGGCTGGGAATTCACACCAGTCCTATGACCTAAATCATCCTTAGCAAGAAATATAATCTAAAATGACCCAACATCAGTTGTTCCCAAAGTAAAAATACATATTCTGTCTGGTTTTAGCCTCTTCACAGACAGCCCTCAATGGGCTGTTACAGATAAAGTGCCAGGGGATAAAAATTCACCAGTTGGAATCATCCAATGGACAAACAAGGAAACAGACCATCGTAGGCTAAAGTTAGCAGACAGAAAATATAGAGTTAGATTCATGAAGCAGATACAGGAGAAGATACTTAAATAAGAAATTCTATATTTAATATAACTAAAAACTAAAAGGGATATGAAAGGAGATGACAATACTTTATGATTGGGCTTGTCTGTAAAAGGCTTCCATCTAATTAATGAAGGGAAGGCCTTAATAGGTGCATTAGATGGCCTTTCAGACATGGTTGAGTAGAAAATTGGAAGAGAAGTCTGAAGTTACTAAAATGAGTCCAGAGAGATTAGGCAATGGAAACTGTACGAGAGAATGAAATAAGATTCAAATGTATCAAATAGAAGAGATTAAAGATAATTGTAGAAAAGCAATATTCAAATAAGTCATTGCCAAGAACTTTTCCAGAGTTTATGATAAAACTAATTTTAAAAATAAAGATGAGTGATTTAAATTAATCAACAGCTAGATATACTTTAATGAAACTTCAGGATATTAAAGATGGCATTACATCCAGCCTGAAAGAAAAGACAAATGCCCGAGGAACATATGGACAATTGCATTCTACTCTAACAGCAACAGTAATGGAAAAAAGTATCTACTGGTAGTCGGGGACTAGCTTCCATTTTGCTAGTTCCCAGGTAACCAATTTAATGAAAAACACTAAATGCATAACAGTAATGAAAGCCTGTCTGAGGCTACTAGTTAGCAAAAAGATTGACATGTGGAAATGGGGGTGCTATTGACTTTCCTGGTTTGAATAAAGGCATGGGGTTATAGCCTTCTGCATGGGTAAACTTCATATAGGAACTGTGTCATTCTCTGCATTGGAAAATTGGAGTATGGAGTTTGAAGCAGTACTTGTGGGAGAAAACCTTAGGAATGATGGAGTTATGGAAGGGAGAAACCTCAAGAAATCTCTGATTGGGTAGTGAAGCCATTAAATCCCTCAGCGTGGGCTAAAAGAAGTTAAATGAGAAATCATCAGCTGTTACCACTGGAGACAATCTAACATTATAATTTAACCAGGTTAACTTCCTGCTTTAAGACAGACATATAAGAATCCCCAACTACAGCTTGAGTGATAGCATATCATTTGCAACATCAATGTGTAAAGAACCAGGGGAACATAAACTAAGCTCAGAAATCAGCTATCACATCCATGCTCAGAGCACAGTGGAAAATGTGTTCATAATGCCTGAGCAGATTGGAAAAATCATCATAGAACTCGAAACTGTTACAAAAGAGCTGGATGAAGATTCTAGAATACCTGAAGCAATACAAATTAGTATGTTCATTTTTTGCAAGAAAATTGTCAATTTAGAAATTTAACCCACTTCATATTTCTGCATTAACAAAGAGAAAGTTCACTTTTAAGTGCCACATCTAATTTTACAAAACACACTTCTGGTTAGGAAAGATGTATCATATATACATATATTCCTAATAGGTTACTTTTTTTTTTTTTTTTTTGGTTTTTCGAGACAGGGTTTCTCTGTGTAGTTTTGGAGCCTATCCTGGCACTCACTCTGGAGACCAGGCTGGTCTCGAACTCACAGAGATCTGCCTGCCTCTGCCTCCCGAGTGCTGGGATTAAAGGCATGCATCACCAACGCCCAGCCCTTAATAGGTTATTTAAAGCCTTACTTTTCCATAACAGAAATTTAGCAATGTAAGACATTTATGATGAAGGCTGGTGATGGCATTAGAGGACTATAGGAATCTTATACTTAAAGAATGAAAAGGTATCCAGAAGTTATGGACAGCCTTAAGTGTGACACAGTGAGCTGTCTGTTGAAAAAAATCCCCAGAGAAATTAGGAGGAGCATAAGAGATGGGAAAACATAGGATCCCATCCTAGTTATGTGTAGGGCTCTGAGATGAGAAGATGTTTATATTATTGGTTAGGTTTTAATTGCCAATTTGATACTACCTATAGGGACCTGGGAAGAGAGAACCTTAATTAGAAATTGCTCATACAAGATTGGACTGTGGTCATGTATGTGAGATTGTCTTGACTGTGTATTCAAGAGGGCCCAGCAGGTGTCTCTGGGCTGTATACAAAAGCTAGCTAAGTATGAGCCAGAGAGCAGGCTAGCAAGCAGCATTACTCCTTGGATTCTGCCCTGAGCTTCTACTTTGACTTTCTAAAATGATGGATTATGGCCTGGAAGTGCAAGTTAAATATGCATTCCTCCCGTTAGTTGCTTTTGGTTAGTGTTTTATTACAGCAGCAGAAAACAAAGTTGAACAGTAGTCAAGGATCCACATAACAGAACATGCCCAAGGAAGTAGCAAGGGCTCCTCTGGGGAGTTTTGGGATGGAATAGCATTGGTTGTTTGTCTGTTGTGAAATTATATGTCACTCTTCACTTCTTGGATATCCATCCTTTTCCAGCCACAGGAGAGACCACAGGTAGAATGTGTGGCAATTCTTATCCACTCCTCTCTTCCTTCTCCCCACCCCCTGTCATATAAAAGACTCAGGAATGTCATGAATTGTGTCTGTTAAAGACTTGGCTGATTCATGAAGGGTTTTAAAACTCAAAATGGACTATCTATATTCGATTTTTTCCTCAATATCTCATAAATAGCCACCTTTTCTGTGGTATGTGATTTATTGGGTATTTCTTGACTGCTGCTATACATTCTTTGACTTCCTTCATTTTCTAGTTGCCATCATCAGCTATCAGATGCTTGCTGTATTTGCACATAAAATGTAACATTTACACTTGTGCAAGTCTCTATGTGAAAAAAGGAAATGGGAATATTTTCCATGATGTTTTAATGAATAACATGTTTTCTTATTGGAAGATTTTAAACACAGAGTTTAGAACTGGTGTGGCAAAGTAGCATCGATGTCCAGTTTGTGCTGTTTATCTCACAAGTATTTTTTTGTATTGGGGAAGGTAGTGCTATTTTGTCTTCTCAATAACATTGCCATTCTAGTTTTCTCTATTGGATTAAACTGTCTTGTAGTCAACACTGGAAGTTTCTACTTCCTACTTTCTGCTATCTCTTCCCTTGAAGGTATAGTAGAAAAACGCATGAAAGAATGAAATAAAGTAAAATGAATTATTTTCTACTTATCTGACATGTACCATGATTCATTCTGTGTAAACTTGCTAGCAAATAGTTCTAGGCCTGTGCTACTTAAGGGTTTTATAGAGCTAAGTCAGCTGAACTGAATTAATGATTGATTTCTGAAAGCTACCCTTAAGTAAACTGAATCTATTTTTGCCTTTTTATATCTTAGGTACCTAAACCAGTAGATTATTCTTGCCAGCCCTGGTAAGTATTAAAGATGTTTATGTTGCTGAGTTGAAATAGCATACTCCTAGCTCGAGGACACCTTAAATGTGTGGTTGTAAACCATGTCCCATTCCCATTTGTCCTTGCTAAAGATATTTTCACATGTAACAAGACACCATGATGAATCTGAACATTGCTGGCTGTTCTGTATTATGATGGGGATAGTGGTATCTCTATGTGAGTGCCGTTGACCATAAATACGTGTAACAGCCACAAAAAGAAAGGGGGATATATTCTTATGTATCTCATATTTTGGAATGATAAATCTCATGAAACAGAGAAGTAAAAATGCTATATTATCTAAAATTAAGAATTACTTCAAAAGGATAGTATCTGAAATAGTAGTTTCTAGTGTAGACTAGAGAAATACGATATACCCATGTCTGATTTGGGTCTTGGATGACCTGGGGAAGATGTACACACACCTGTCTAGTCATCACAGAAAGGGAGGTCATAACAGGCCACAGTAATGACTGCACCAGTTTCCATCTCAGTGACCTGTTGAGTTTTTAATGACATTTCAAATTTAGAGCAACCACATCAGTGAAAATCCCACCTCAACCCAGGTGACCACTTACAAAAGTGACAACCCTGGGGCCAGCGTAACAGTCTACTAATTTCTTCTCTACGGTTCAGCCATCCAGTCTTCCTCCCCGGGGCAGCTTTTTACTCCTTCTTAGACTGGCAGAAAGGGGCCCTTGAGAAAATTCCGAGATTCTCTTCTCCCAGAAGTGGGACCTTTAGTTCACCTCATGAGTCTCATGAGCCCCTCTCTCCCTCCTGGAGGGAATGTTTCAAGTAGGAGAAACTAGCTGTATAACAGGTCTAGATGCAGTATATTGACCACTGAGATGCTTGCTAGTAGTGTAGGTAGCAGAATCAAAGTGAGCAATGGACAGTGGTTGTGACTGAAAACTACACATAGGCAGCAGATAGTTAAGACTTCATTATGTCACAATAAGTAATACAAGCTGAGTATTTTACATGCACTAACCACTTTAAGTTTTTTTTTTTTCACATTAAATGTGAGGTTTTGTTATTTTTTGGTTTTTTGAGACAGGGTTTCTCTGTGTAGCTTTGGAGCCTATCCTGGCACTCACTCTGGAGACCAGGCTGGCCTCAAACAGAGATCTGCCTGCTGGGATTAAAGGCATGCACCACCACACCCGGTTGTAATCCATTTCCCATTTCCGTTTGTTCCATAACAAAAATTTCCCCCAAATTTTTATATGGAAGATATTACTGTCATTATTGAGAGAGAAAAAAAAAAACATGAAGGCTACCAGTTTGCTGTAGCCCCAAGACTCTAGGTGGTACCCTTTGTACATTGCTATCTTACCCCTCAAAATACAAAACCTGAGCGTTTTGCTGTGTTGTGTGTGTTTCCCTGGGTCTGTGTTTGACTTTTCTGAAGATGAATGAGTCTCTTTTTCTTTCCCCTGATATTTGTCTGTGATATCTTGAGGCTAAATAACACTAGTTCAATGTGCAAATGTGGGTAGCACCTAAATATTTAATATATACATTGTATACCTATTTCTGATTTCTTTGTTATGTAGCCAATTTGTAGAAAGGGCCAGGGCACTTTTAAACTTATGGAATTATCAAACCTCAAACCTCTCACTGAATGCTAACACTCACATCTGTCTTCCTCGTCATTATTTACTTCCTCTGCTGCATTCTTCCTGTCTTCAGGACTGACATTGCCAAGGAAATTTGATCAAATTGGGAATCTTTGATACATTTTAACATCTCTGAGAACAAATTACAAATTTCTGTTTCTGTGGAACTTAAAACCATCATACAACTAGGTTTTAAGTAAAAGAATAATTTTACAGATAAACAATAATGTCTCCAACTGCATGGATTTTATCAGATAAATTGGGCAGGTACCTGAGATCTATCCAGACACAAAAGTTTGTACATAAAAACTATATACAATCTATGTATGTTGAGCACATGATAGTTTTTAAATCTACTCTTGAAACTATAACCAGTTAGAATGATGACTCCTAATGATTAAAAAAAAAAATCAAGATTTCCAGACAAAGGAAACACATTAAATACAGGAATTAACAAAGACATATCAGCATAAAAAATTTAAATTACGTTTTCTTCCCTTGAACAACCTAGACATTTCATTGAAATTAAGTAAATAGTTTCATGTGAAATGTCTTCAACTTGGGAACAATTATAAACTACTCATGAAAACTTTGAATTTTAGAAATATGAGTCTCAACGGCATCCATTTATGTTATCTGTTAATTATTTCCATCTTTAAATCAAGTAAATATTGCTAAATAGAAAATCAACAAGACTTCTTCAATAGCCCATGTTTTACGAATGAAATGAACGAAATGCGGGGATGAGGTCTGAAGCTAAGAGTGGGGAGTTCCTTGAAAGTCTGAATGTGGTAGATGCCAAGGCCCCTATTGCTTTTTCCCGGTGTCAAATAACCTGCCGCTTTATACTGCCAAGAGACAGTGTTGTTAGATGTATTACATGGGAAAACAGAACCACACAGGGCTTCGACTTGGAAAGGCTAGGCCTAACCGAGGCTAGGGGGATGCCATTCTGAAAATCAGTTGTATTAAGGAAAGTCTTTATATCAAAGGAAAAAACCCTATTTCCTTCATATAGCTTAGATCTGGCATGGGAGCAGCTTCTCTTGCACTGTACCCTTTTCTTGAATGCAGAAATGAGTATAGAGAACTCCAGAGAATCTGAATAAACTCAGTAAAAAAACAAATCCAAGCCCATAATGTTTGGATACTTCCCAGCCCAGTTATCAGATTTTTGCCAAATTAGCAGACTTCTGCACAGTGGTGTACTTTTGGGCCTGCACACACAGGACCCACAGTGGTTCCCAGATTCAGCTTCCTTATATATGAACAAACTATAAAGAGAAATCAGATATTTGAGGAAAACTTTGAAGGATAAATATATCAATATATATCAAGCATTTTGTAAGAGGAATGATTTGAAAATGGAAAAGTGCTTGTAAATAGTAAGTGCTTGTAAGTAGTATAGGAGTTTGGAAAAATGTTGAAAAAAAATTTCAAAAACTTCAAAGAGATAAGATGGGAGAAATGTTTTAAAAATTAGATAATTGACATGAATTCTTGCTACTATTCAACTTATAAGAACTTCAGAAAGGAAAAATGCCTAAAGGCATTAATTACTAAAGAAATAATACAAAATTTTCCAGAGTTGAATGTCATGTCTACAAGTTGGAGATGTGACAGAAAGCGTAAGTAAGCACATTATCATTCAAGTTTTCCAATACAGAAAATAAATGCAGAATCTGAAAATTTCCAAGAAAAAAATATCAGGTCACATCCAGTGATTCAGAAATTAGAGTGAAATCAATTGGAAGTTCAAAGATAATGATGTAATGTCATTTAATATTTAAGAGGTAAAATCATTTCTCACTTGGAATTCTCTCCCAACCAATCTACAAGAAGTGTTGGGTAAAATGAAGTATTTCTATAGGTGCTGGGCTTTAATGTATTGCATCCCATACGCTTTTCGTAGGAAACCTAAGGATGGATTTTTTAATCCAAGGAAAGAAAAATGCAGAATCCAGGAATGGGGCAGCAGACTTAGAGGGCAGGAAGAATCTGTTAGTTTAAGAGATTGGGGACTCAGAAGCCATTGGATTAAGAGTGAAAACTTTGCAAGTAGAGCATATAACATTGAAAACGTATTGTTAATGAGTTTATATAGAGAATTTGGAAAGATCTGTGATTGATAGAAAACAACTTAAATAAACTTTTGTGCTTACCTTTTTACAAATCAAGTATTTTTAGCTACTATCCTGCTCAAAATGAGCCCTTCTGATTGTCCTCTTTGTTTTTGCCCCTTTTGTTTCTTTGATATTTACTGGTGCTCACTGAGTCTTTAGGCACTGTTCGTTTCCTGATGTTAATAAATCACATTTGTGTTTAGACTTATTAAAGAAATTTTCTGAGTTATTATTTAAAGCAATGCAATTAGCATACAAGTAAAATGATGACCATTACTTATATTTAGCCTCTCTTTACAGATACAGTCATCCAATTTTTTTTGTCTTCCTATGTTTTTCCAGGTATGCCGGACCAATGGAAAGATTGCAGGCAGAAACTGAGCTTATTAACAGGGTGAATAGTACTTACCTCGTGAGGCACAGGACCAAGGAGTCTGGAGAATATGCAATTAGCATTAAGTAAGTAGGACAAGTGATTTTTGTAGAAGTAGATTTCCTGTGTTCATAATCATGTAGGTCATGTGGCACATATAACACTGAAGTTTAAAACCGATGTTCTGATTGCAGTGGCAATAATGTAATTATTCATACAGTTCATTAATACTGGAAAAGATCTGTGAGGAAAACAGTAATGAGTGTTATAGGCTGCTAATTGGCATAATAGATTTCTTTCATAACATTATATTTTGTTGACTTGAGATGTGTGTATTTTTAGTAAATTCAAGAATACAAATTACTAGATTTTGTCTTTTTTTGTACTCTGAAACTGAATTTCCTAAGTAAATTAAGCACAATGATTAGTCAAATCCAAATTTCCTCTCACTTCAAATATTGGTTGTATCTTCAACCCACCTAGTAAATACATTTTGTTAATTAGCTGTCACCATTGTATTGGCATAAGTATATATTTTGTCTTCAGAATTAATTCCTATAACGTTATTGGTGCATGCCTTCTGGTAATTATTGATTTCAACTGATTAAAAACACATTTATATTCATAAGTTATTCATTGCCCACAGGTACAATAATGAAGCAAAACACATCAAGATTTTAACAAGAGATGGCTTTTTTCACATTGCAGAAAATAGAAAATTTAAAAGCTTAATGGTAAATATTGATTATTTCTTTTCAATCTATAATTCCCATTTTCTGCTGTTAAGTTAGTTAACTCTATAGTTTCTTAACAATGTTACCCATTGAAAATTATTTAGATAATAATAGTGTTGGCTTTAGCAAATCCTAACTTTCTAGCTTGATAAATTCCAATGAAAGTTTATATTGCTCAAATGGTATTTCTCATTGTTAATGTGGTTTGTAAGTTGTAGATAATATTTTAGAGTATACACTACTCATGACTCTTAAAGCAATGGTCAATGCAAGTATAACTTTCAGTTGTTTGTATGGATGTTTGAGTGTATTATCACAATGTCAAATGACAAATCACAAATCTTTACTATGTCATTTCTTTTCTTATGTCCTCTGTCTCTTCATTCAGCAACTTTGTGTCTTTAAAATTATGAGACAGAAAAGTTTTCATTAAGAAGGAACTTCTTACCTTTAGGTGTATTTCTTACAAATGCAATATAAAGTCAATTTGAAATTTGATTATATTTTCTGCTATTATAAATTATCTGTGTAATTCTAGTTCTCATTTATTACATTAGACAAGTGTTAGTAAATTTATATTTCTGCCACATACAACAGTTGATATTATGTAGAAATTTTATTTTGAAATAGAAATCATACATTGTAGTTAGTATGCATTTATTAATTCTGACAATTTATAGAAATCTCAATAATTTTATTAGTAGGTATCATGTATGTACATATAAGTCATACAGACCATACATACATTTCATTATATATACACTGCTCACAGTAAAGAAATCTTATTTTCTTAGAAGTGGCTACAAATCTATTTCCCACTTAGTGATTTCTTGAACTAATGAAGCATTTGGATCTATGACACAGGATACATTTGTAGCCGCTAAGATCTTTGGTTAGCTTTGACAATGAAGACTCATTGATGTGGCTATCAATCAAGTGATATATACTACACCTTTCTGAAAAATAACAGAAATCACTTAGGAATACAAATGAGTTAAACTAGAGTATAAGAAGGCTTACAAACTCAGCCAGCTTGAATGCCTTACCTAAAAACCATTTCAAGACCGAGATCAGTTCTTTAAGAAATCAAAACATCCTGAGCTGAAAGAAAAGGAAATAGGAGGAAATCTCTAGACATAAATGGCACATTTGAAATTCAAAAGCAAAGGACAGGCAGCATGGCTGAGTCTTAAAAAATGGAAACTCTTGTCAAATCGGTAACCAAGATCCAGACATCCTCCCTGCTGGAAGTAACTTACATCTGTTGCACCCATCAGGCTGTGAGAGAGAGCAGAGAGTGGGCTTGACCAGAAGATCATCTTTATACAATAAAAACCTAGAAAGGATGTAGAAAGTGGGTGCACAGATGATGAGTGACAGGTACAGCCCCGACGTGATGAAAGCATGCCTGGGCACTCCACATCTTGGCAAGACATGCCTGCAGAACTTCTTTGGGTGATAATGAGGCGTCTTCACAGTGTTACAGTTTATATGACACTTTAAAAGTGCTGCAGGGCCAATGATGACTGCTAGCCCTCCAGACATTGAAAGTAGCAAAGGGAACTCCCATTAAAGAAGACATGCAAGGAAGATGAAAGGAATGGCCATTGGAAAGGGGCAATCAGTTCAGCTTTGTGTCACCTTGGTTCAGCCCTAGGAAGTCCTTTAGTAGGGAATGTTAGGGATGATAATAGCCAGTGCCACCATCAGGAGCTGTAGATCTTATAAGGCCATGATTATACTAAAGCAAATAGACACTCCATTTTGAATCATTTGTAGCAGAGACCATTGAAGTTTATTCATTGGTCTCCTGAAAAAGGAAAGTAAATGTGCATGTCCCAGAGTTCAAATAAGTGTCACAAAATCTGTGTGTCACTCACAAATGCCACTGCTAGGGACGCATACACATGCCTATGTTATTTCCTCCCTTCCTTTCCCTCCCTCCCTCCCTCCTTTCCTTTCTTTTCTTCCATACATGGAGATCTTTTATAGGGAAGCTCAGACTATAATGAGGTGAATGGGAATTGTCAAAAGAGGTGAATGGGAATTGTCAGCAAAACTGCAGAAACTAAAAGGAAAAGAAACAGCTTAAGGATAGCTGTGTAAAGAAAGGAAGACAAGAAACTGAAAACCTTCAGTTATAAGCAAAGGCCTTTTTCCTGCTTTAGCAAATAACTACCAGTTGCTGAAGAAGCTGCTGAGCTAGTTCAAGTTAGCCCTGCTTTTTGTTCATGTGTTGAATAAATTTATTGTGAATCTTTATTCTTAATTTTTGGATTCGTGTATTCAATACATTCAATAAGCAGATAAGCAGTGATATTTGGGTATTGTGAATATTTTTTAAATTAAATGTTTATTTAGAATAAAATTCTATTACTTTTCCAAAAGACCAACTTGTATTTTAATAAAACAATTTAATAGAACAGGGCACAATGTTTAAGAGAAAAGTCACAAAGAAGGGTATGTAACATTATTCTGAATCTTAAAAGACTCAGTCACTGTGGTTTTAAGACACTTCAAAATAAAATGACTCTATTGATCTAAAAAATCTTACAAGTTAGAAAATACATGTGTGCCAGAGAACTCAATATAATGGTGTCCTGTAGACCCATGCTGGGAAATGCCACGTGGATACTTGCCAAAAAGAAGTGTTTCAAGACTAGAGGAGGCTCCAAGATGTAGGAGGTGTCTTAAAAAAATAAGGGTTATACAATCTGTAGCAGAAACAGTTTATTGTGTTGTGTTACATCCCACAGTTCCCATCACTGTAAATGCTGATGTGTGGATTTGATCCATTCCCCAGGAGTAGTTCAGTATCTTGCTATCTGTGCTATCTTGTGTTCGGTTTGTCTGCATATGAATTACAGGGTACCGTGCAATAAAATATTTATCAGAAAGGATACAAAACACAAGCAGACTCACTCAAAAGCTTGTTTTAAATTAGCTGGTGTCTCACACAGAAGGCTGTATTTGGTGCTTGGGGCCAGAACTACTTTCCTTGGGTTTCAATAGCTTGGTTAATCAAACTCTTTGTTTTTCTTAGTCATTAAGTTCCAATCCGAAATGACTTTCTGATTCCAGATTACAAGGCATTAATTTTGTTCTGATTTTCACATATGCCAGACAAGCCATGTCCAAATGCTGTTTGTAAGCCATCTCCATTGCCTGTTTCCTTGGTAATTGGAATGACTGGCCCACACTCGTTATTCTGAGTTGGATTGTTGACACCAGTGTGTCGGCTGAGATAAGGGAAGCTTAGAGATTTCTTTTGTTTAGAGTCATCTTATTTGCTTGTTGTACCTGAAGGTCAATGGCTGCTAAAGCCGGGGTGGATTAGTCTAAAATACAGAGAGCATAAAACCAAGAATTGGAAACGATCCACAGTGTGCTCCTTAATTCTACTCAGGGACATCTTAGGAAGATTTACCTGCCTAAGACTGTAAAAATGTAACTAAAATACCACCCACGCTTAGCCAGGTATTAAAGACTGTCTGCAGTTTACTAAACTGCCTCACCATGGTTCTTAGACAAGTCTCTTTTCTTTCTTTCTTCTTTTCCTTCTGTAAAAATATTAAATGACTGAAAAATCTTTTTTCAGTTCAATAATTCAATAGTTTATAACCAACTTCACATTAATCTTAATAATGATTTATAACAAAATTTATATTCTCTCTCATAAGGTTAAATTGAAGTTCAAAGCTATTGAACTTTGTAATCCATCTCAGATTTGTATTTGTACTGTCAAACAAAACAGCACATCTTAATTGATATGTCAAGACTAAAGGAATAACTCCTTGCTATCATTGTTATCGGTGATGCCATATGCAAACACAGATTTCCTTAAGCTTTTTATTTCATTATCTAAAAGACACCAAATATATTTTTAATAAGCACAGTCTAACTTCTGATCTACTCTTGCCAAACCATATCAAAAATTGGTATAATACAAATACCATATTCTTATATTGGTAGCCATTTCCAAGATACAACATTCTATTTGGTATTTTGCTTTCTTTGCCTTGTGTTTATAAAGGTCAGTCAAATTCCACATCCCTTTGTTTCATCAAACACTCCCATTCTCTGGGCTCCAGGGAAAAACACACAAAAATACACATACATACATACATACATACATACATACATACATACATACACATGCTCACATAGACACAGATTTAAGTTATAGAATTAATGTTTGCAAAGACCACAGCATCTTAAGTTTAAGAAATCAGAGTTGCTGGTTTGTCATAGCAAAAATGACTTTCATATGCTTCCCTTTTCTGTACTTACACTTGCTACTTATTAATAACTTGATGCAACGGGCTCACTCTGGACAGATATAAGTGATATAGTGATTGAAAAAATAATAAAGAAAAAAGGACATGACTATTCCTAGGTATGGTGGAGGAGAAAGTTTACTGTATATAAAAAGGGGAACAGAGCTAGAGACTGAGACATCTGAGAGAGTCCAGAGTGGACACGAGGAGCACAGGGAGATGGGAGACCCAGACCAAGAGACCAGGAAGGCAAAGAGTAGACGGAAAATGGGCAGGTAAACAAAGTAGCTGAATTATATAGGGAAGGGCAGCCCCACTCCTCGTCTGGAGAAGTTTAGGATGGGGGGTGGGGTTAGTAGTGCAGGAGGGTCCTGTAACAGGTAAAGAAGACTGAGGGATGCAGGGAGAACCTGGTGGCCAGTGTCCTCTTTGATATGTTATTGGGTACCTCAGCCATTTGTTCTGGGTTGAGACCTAACATATGGACTGTACACAAGTTGGTTAATTTTATCAAGTTCTTTGCATCCATGGTTTGAGGCTCTCATTTTCCAGGAAAAAAACAAAAAAAGAATCTTCATTGCTTTATCTGGTGACTTAGCTATATCATACTGCTTCTACTTAACTAATGTGACAATGGGGTGTGTGTGTGTGTGTGTGTGTGTGTGTGTGTGTGTGTGTGTGTGTGTGTTTTAAAATGCCTGTGCTCAATGTAGGTGCAAATATGCAGAGACAAAAGGAAGATAGCAGATGTTGTAGTCCCTCTCTCTCTGTCCTGTTCACTAACAGTCCCTGGAGCTAGGTTGCCAGTCAGGGAGTCCCAGCATTCCTCCTGTCTCCTCAACCCCATAGTTCTGCGTTTATAGGCACAAGTGAGATAATACCTGCTTTCTATACAGATGGCTGCAATTTGAAATCAGGTCTTCACCTTTCAGGCTTCTGTAACAAGTGCTCCCATTTGCTCCCATTTGAGCCGCCTCCCCAGTCCATGACATTGATTTTTCACTTTGTCACCTTTGTGTGTGTTGTTAGCCCTAGATACCCCCATATGAATTGATCCCATCTCCATTGTTAACTATTGAGATTTTTTTTTTAACCTGGTCTTTTATTTAAACAAAGCCACCTCCATCTTGAAGTCTTGAAGTCTCCTCTTGTTTCCCAGTTGAACACACTTGTGTGTCCTTGACGTCTTATAACCCTTCACTTTTGCTTCTAAGCTGAGAGTTCCTAGAGAGTGGGAACCTTGTCTTTAGCATTTTTGATCCCTGTCACTCCAAACACAATGCAGTGCACAGCACATCTTACTTGGACAGAAGAAAATAATACATTGATGATTCTTTTTTTTTCTTTTTTCTCATGTTTAGAGTAGGTTCTGGCCCGATTGATTTCTTTTAGGAAATTTGAACTTAACCACTGAGTAGATGTGTTGAATCAATTGGCAGTTATTTTCTTCAAGTAATAAATGGCTTCTCCATTCTTTTTTAAGGGTGCTATAACAGAAGCATTGAATATTTTATTTAAAATAATTTGTTTTTCATTTTTACTTCAACCATTTATCAGCTACTTTATATCTGGCACATTCAGCTACTGATAGCATTTTCATTATGAATTGTTATTCTATTTCAGTTCATAGTAGAGGGATTCCAATTTGTGTAGATTCTGAAGCCTAGATATACAGAAATATATTTTCCTGAAGATTTAGTTTGAAATATGGTAGAAGTTTATATGAGGCTTCCAGATGTTTTTTTTTTTTTTTTTTTTTTTTTTTTTTTTTTTTTTTTTTTGTCACATTTAGATTAAAAAGTTTTTTCTGAACTAGCTCTTGTAGACCAGGCTGGTCTCGAACTCACAGAGATCCGCCTGCCCCTGCCTCCCGAGTGCTGGGGGATTAAAGGCGTGCACCACCCATTACTTCTAAACAATTAGAAGGAACAACCTGTTTCCCTCTGTGGATACTGGGTAGCACTGAGCTGAGCTGTGCACTAACAGTTCATCAATGTAAAACAGGCATGATACCGAACAGTGTTCAATGCTTTTTCAATGTTTCTCTTAATTCTGGAAAAGTCCGTGTAGTATTTAAGTTTGTTTTTCTGGTAAGTTGAAAGAAAATGGGGGAAAGTAGAAATTGCCATATAGTCAGGCAAACAGCTGTCCCTTTCATCTTTCTTCAGAAAGATGCGTCTCTCACTAATAACAACAATAATTGCTACTCTGAGATGGAGGTTTAGCATGGGTTCTTTTCAGTAGCACATCTGACTGCAGATAAACATGGTACTCTGTACGCCTGAAGAACAATAGAGAGTAAGCTACGTGATGGATAAATGTCTCCAGGAAACAGCAGTTTCTGGGTGGGAGTCAGGTCCATTCAGACAGCAGGCAGGGCTCTCATTGACACTTTCATATATTTGTAAATGTAAAATGTTAAAATGATCATCCCTGTCTTCTATACAATTATGTACTGAGGAGTTTATCTGAGAACAAAAGTAACAAAACCTCTCTTTAATCTGCTCTGTTAAAGGAACTTGTGGAGTACTACAAGCACCATTCTCTTAAAGAAGGGTTCAGGACCTTAGACACGACGCTACAGTTTCCTTACAAGGAGCCAGAACGTTCAGCCGGACTGAGGGGTAATAGAGCAGGCAACAGCTGTGAGTATTGTAATTGAGAATACATTTTTTTTTGTTTCAATTTTTGGTCACTTAAGGGGATGGAAGCAAAATAACATGAAATATCTTCATTCTGAACTTTGAAATATAGCCAATTAATATGCTAATGAATTGAGCAGACACCTTTTTTCTGGAGCTAAGCAGAGTCATAAGGATTACGAGGTTCATGAGTGTGTCGAGTTATCAGTTTTTGTGCCAAATTAAAAATTATATCTGTGTTAAGATAACTATCAAAATGTAAGTGCTATTTCAATGTGTAAAGTTTTATACTTTCAGTTTTTGTGCCAAATTAAAAATTATATCTGTGTTAAAATAACTATCAAAATGTAAGTGCTATTTCAATGTGTAAAGTTTTATACTTTTCACTGAATTTAATACTGGCCATGCTGTCTTTAATTTATATGTAACATTTGTGTCTGTAATGCTATTTGAAGAGCAATATCTAACAGAGCTCTTCCAGTGTGTCTCGAACCCTCACTCTACTAATGCTCCTAATTTAAATCCAACATTGAAAGAATTAATGTATTTTGTCAGTATCTTTAAACTATACATTGGTCACTTTCTTGAAGAGCACGTATTGTACGATAAATAATCATAAAGGATGACTACACCGAGACATACAACTGCATCACTGTTTCGTGAATCCAAGTCATAAACTTACTCTGCCTCACCATTTCATGCTATATAAACTTCCCAGTCAGAGACACAACATATGAAGAGAACACTGTAATGAAAAATGCAAAGAAAAAACATTTTTACTTCCTTGTTAAGAAATCTTAACAAAAAAACCAAATAAATAATAAAAAATACTTAGGGGGAGAAATAATAACAATTTTACACTGTGGAGTCCTGAATTAAGCACAACTGGAAGATCAAGATGTAGTTCCAAAAAGGGTTTGCACCAGTGCAATATAACTTGAAGTTTATTTTTCCTCTAAGAGCTTGCACTAAAGGAATCCAGGTTTAAATATCTATGCAATTGTATCTAGCTTATCAATTTTATCTGTTTGTAGCTCAAAATTGCCCGATTATCTGAGATTCTCACACAGGCCATACTTTTTACTCATTCAAAATTGATGTTTAGCCTAAAAAGTGGTTTTGCTACAAATTCCTTAAAAATATATCCAAGTTATGACTTCTGACATTTTTTTACAGGACACTTCCTTTTATATAAACATAAATTTAAGCCCTTCTTTTTTTGTCTGCCTTTCCAGTGGATGGGCATATCACAAATTGCAGAAGAGGCCATCTGCATGTGGAATAATACTTGAATAGTTTACTTCCAGAGCCCTGTGGCGGAATGAGGAACAAAATGTTCAGAATTGAAAAGGTCATTAATTCATTATAACCATAGCTTTTCTTGTTTGTATGACCAAATAATGGCAAGAAGCATCTTAGAAAAGTTGATTTCAGCTTACAATTTGAAGGGACATGGTCCATCACAGAGGCTAGGAATGGTGGTAGGTGATCCAAGGTAGAGTGGTGCTGGGACTCTCATGAGCCTACTAGTACCTTAACAGTAATCAGAGAGTTGCCATGAAGTAGAGGCAGACTATAAAAATCAAGGCTCACATTCAGTGAGTAACTTCCTCTGTCAAGGCTCCCAAACAGTGCTGCTAATGCTTCGTACACAACACACATTAGATTTCAAAGGGTTGAATAAGTTTACATTGGAAGTTCTCATAGCAGCCTACAGTATACTTTGATGCTTCAGGAGTTTGTCTTGCTAACTTTATACTAAGCTTGGTTTAGGAGTATCCCTTCATGAAAACACCACATGTAATTTTTTAAACAGGTTGTGCTTCCTAGGATGTGGGGAAAAAAGAAATGCTATATATTCTGTACACAATAGTTGCTTGGGGTACTTCATCCCTGATTCCTAGCCTTGGTCATGCTGTTGAATATCTAAACATAACTTTCACCAAGGAGCATTGCCTCAAGATACAGATTTAGAGACCAAGATCTTATGTCTTCATCACTTCTCAAAAAAGATACAAGATAAAGGATGCAGAGCAAGTAAGGTAAAGCCCAGAACCTTCCTGTGTTCTCCATAGAGGTGAGATGAGAGCTCCACTTACTGCTAGTGAAACTGACTAGTAGTAGTAGAGGTTGTAATTTGTAGTCATCTTGGAAAAGAAAGGAATGGCAGAGGACATTATATAGGTTAGAAAGCCATTTTGTGCTGTCTTTAGATTGTCTACCAGGGTGTCAGGATAGTGCTACTTTTTATTGTCCTTTTAATAGCTTGAATGTTTCCAAAAGAGGAGAAAAAGTGAAGGGAGAGGGAAAGCAGAGAGGAGAGAGAACTTGGGGGTAAGGGAGAACTGCAGTGGTTTGGTGGAAGATATTGTGTGAATCTATATAAGAATCCCGTAATTACCCAAAATAGCCCTAAGCAATCTGCCTTTGATGGCTTTGGTATATCTGTACACCTGTACATTTGAAGGACACTGAAATGATTTTTGAATATTGTTTTGTTTTTGTTTTTGTTTTTTGAGACAAGGTTTCTCTGTGGCTTTGGAGGCTGTCCTGGAACTAGCTCTTGTGGACCAGGTTGGTCTCGAACTCACAGAGATCCAGCATTTGCCACCACCGCCTGGCTGAGTATTGTATTCTACAATGAGTATTTGGTTATTTTCAGCCCTATTCTGTTAGGAAAGTTATCCAATTTGAACCTCAGCTTTCCCATCCAAAGAATGAAGAGTGAGATTGGAAACTGTATCATGTCCTTTGGTAAATCACATGATAATTTTAATTCTTTGTATGTGTGAGAAGAGGTGGTAGAGTGTAATTCTGATGGATCATTACACTAACAGTAGTGCAGGATTTCCTAGTTTTTGACCCCAAATCAAACCTTAAACATTTCTCCAATTCATATTTATGGAGAATTAAGTCTGTACCAGAATAGAGTTGCATTACTTTTTTAGAAATTAGTGACCACAGTTATATATGGTGAAAGTCTCTCTCATTATAACTTATCAACTATAAAAGGAAAAATACCAGCATCTTAGTCAAGTGACCCCAAGTTAATATCTCCAGAAATGTGCTATTAACCCAGACCACTTTGATGATATCCTTGCTCTGCAGTTGCATAATCTCAGTCTGACCACGGGAAGCATCAGACAAACAGGAATTGAAAGGCATTAACAAAGAATCAGTCTGGGTTTGTAAAAATGTCAAAGTAATTAAGGGCAAAGTCTGATGATTCATTTCACATCAAAGGCAAACAAAAAGATATGATACCCACACAGCATGGCTAGGATTCTGACTAGGTAGGCAGTGCATATACAACAACATACAAACATTTTGTATGTGCTATTATTTATGTTACTGTAAAGGGCATGAGTAGGTTAGTTAGTGAAGTTTGCATTTATTCTATAGATTAACTAGCTAGGTTGTATCAGCACAGTGTTCTGCTTCTGATAATTTTACTGTAGCTAGAACAGCGAATATCTTTGTAGGAAAAACATACTGAAGTATTTGACAGTAAAAATGGATTATGTCTTCAGTGTGTATTCAGATGGCTCAAAAACAATCATAGACTGGCAAAGCAAACATGGTAAGATGTTAATATTTGGGTACTATGAATGAAGTATATGAATTTTTTTTTTACATTTGACCAAGGATAAAAGAATTGTTTGTGTTACTCTTGTCTCTTTCATGAGTGAATTAGTTTAGAATTAAAAATGGTTGATGTACAGGTAACCCTATCTGCTGGCCATGTCCAAAGGAATTGCAGGAAGGTAGCAGGATCCTATTTTTCTCTGGCACTCTGGCTCCGGGTGCAGAGGAACATGGGCACTGATTTGGAGTTGTATAGAGCACCTGTACACAGATTAGTTCACAAGAAAAGGCTCGCTGTGATCTCATTACATCTGTTTATTTGTTCCTATAACACAACAAACACTTAACACTTACCATGTGCCAACCCTTGTGCTAGATGCTGGAGTTACAATAGTAAGTAAGACAATCTGGGAAATGGGAACACACAAAAGACAAATAGGACAAACATAGAATTCAGTAAGCCTTCTGAAGCCAAAGAACATAACCTACTATCTCATTTGTAAGAAGGACTTATTCAGCCTGTGGGTATAGAGCAAGACTTCTTGAAAATGTCATTTAGGATAAACTTAAAGCATGTCTGAGAGTGGTATTATGTAGGGTGGTGTGCTCTAGCAATTCTACAGTGAGGTAGTTTTGTGAAGGTGCTAACCTGCAAAACACTTCATATGACATTCATGCCACTTGTATTTATTAATCTCAATATTATATTTTTTGCTCTTTTTCCTGAAATAACCTGGCAATTTTATTAGTTATATTGCAATACAGTAAGGGATAATATTCATTTAAATTCCTTAAATATACACTTAAAATAGTTAAGCTTTCTGCTCTTCTAATTCAACATGACGGTATTCACCCACTCTCATTTTTGATTGCTGTATTTTATGCTCAATCTTTTGTCATCTTTTCACTGGTCATTTTGTGTTTGATATCTAATTTTATTTTGATAACCTTAATACTAGTTTTAGTCTCATATTAGTTTCCTAGGACTGCAATATAAATTAGTACACAATGACTTTAAGAGATCCATAACATCTACAAAGACCTCTCATTTTTTAAAAAGTAAAGTCATATTCCTCAAGATCAGACTGAAAATATCTTTATCTAGGGAATGGGGAGACTGTTAGACCCATGGTAATCTCATAGTATTGATTTTGACTATTCTCTAAAATTTACCAGACTAATTTCCATTTTTGTTGTTTCAATGAGTAATAAGGAAACTTTGCATTATTGGTGCTGATAGGCCAAATGATGCAGATGGGCATTCTGGGAGAAATGGACTTCAAATCAGTGAAGTGCTTTCAGTGGGTTATAGCTTTGCCACCATGAAATGCACGCTTCTCTCGAGAGGAAGCACTGTGAACCAAGGCATGTTCTCAAGCATCACTGTGGAGCCATTTGTCTGAAACATGGCCTTAAGT